AGGTTGACTCGACTCATGACTGTCATGAATCAACTCACGAAACCCAGCCGTTTTGTCAAAAGTTTCTGCTCGGTCGACTCATCAGTTTATGAGTTGACCCATGTGTCATGAGTCGACTCATCTCAATCATGAATCGACTCATCGACGGTTTCCTGGTTTGGTTGGGTTTCTGTTCACACAAATTCCTGTTGGTTTTGGGCTTGGTTATTTTTCAGATTACCATCCACGTTTGTACACCTATATAAAGGATTGTTTTAGGGTTTCTAAGCAATCAGAGGGAATCAGAGGAAAAGGAGAGGCCAAGATGTAGATCTAAAGGGTTTTAGGTCTAAGTGAGATCCTAATAAAAAAAATTAGGGTTTAGATTGTGATGATTTATGATATCTTAGATCAAAGAGAGATTCTAATCATTGTATTAGGGTTTAGAGAGGATTGAGAGGTTGTTCTCGATTCTAGTGAGATTGTGAGAGAGATATTGTAATCTTTTGTTCTTCATAATCTAAAAAAGGTATTTTCCTTCGCCATACGGAATTATTCTTGTGTTTTAGTTGTCTTCTTCTCAACCCACCTTTTGGTAATTTCGCGACCAAAGGGTGCTCGCACGGCGACTCGTATCAAGTTGGTATCAGAGCGATCAGATCCTACGAAGGGGGCATCCTGTGTATGGTCCTGACTCAATCGCAATACAAGAAGCTTGGTGAGATCCTTATTTTATTGGAAGGAGTCCGGGTTTTAAGGAAGGAGAAGATGGCTGAAGGAGACAATTTAACGAGGATTGATGCACTGGAGAAGCAGATCGAGATGATAGGTTCGACTCTCACACAACTCGTCAGTCTTATCCATAGAGGTGACAAACAAGGTGAATCTTCTTCGAAGAAAATTATTGAGTCCGATGTGGAGAGAGTAGATTCAGATTCCGACGAGGAGGAGACCGTTAAGGTTGCATTGCATCAAGGGGGTAAGAATTCTTATCAGAACCTGAAGATTGACTTTAAGGTGGAGATTCATGTTTATGATGGGAGTGTTGACGTCGAGAGGCTTGATGACTGGATCGAGCGGATAGAGACGTATTTTACTCTTTATGGCTATTCGTCAAAAGAGAAGATTGTGTTCGCGACTTTGAAGCTTTCAGGGCACGCGTTGACGTGGTGGAAATCCTACTGCAAGCAGGAGAAGAAGGCGGTGTCGTGGAACAAGTTCAAGGAGTTACTGAGGAAGCAGTTCTACCCGGTGGGATTCCTTGAAAATCGTTGGTACAAGTGGTACGGCTTACGCCAAAGGGTCAATCAAACCGTTCAAGAATACACCACGAAGTTCCAGCAACAGACGATGGTCCTCAATATTACGACAGATGAATATTCCGTGTTTATGAAGTATATGGCGGGATTGAGCGATTACATCCGAAAGAAGATGAAGCTATTCACGGTGGAATCAATTGCAGAGGCGAGCGTGAAGGCTATTGCCCTCGAGGGCAAGCAAAAAAAGGGCAACGAGGCTAAGGGGGACTCCAAACAGACGGAAGACGAGTCTAGTGGTTCTCAATCTAAGAAGGAGGAGAAGAAGGGTGATCCAGGGAAGGCAGGGCTGATTTCTAGTCACTACGAGAAGACAGGACACAGCTGATCGGTGCTGGGAGAAGTATCCTCATCTCAAGCCAAGAGGGTTGAGGAAGAAGGAGGAGAAAAATGCATACATGATAGCTCAAGGTCCGAAAGAAGTCCCGGGAATGATAGAGCCTAACAGCAGCCTCAACCTTATGGCGGGGAAGCAGACCACGAAAGAGGACGACGACCCGAGAGAGCAACTCTTTGTTCTTAAGTTGCAAATGAAGACCAGTTAATTGGTTGATGCCATTGTTGATTCGGGCAGCGAGAAGAATTTGATATCCGAGGCATTGGTTCAGAAGCTGGGTCTGAAGACGGTCAAGCATCCGAAGCCCTATCCATTGGGGTGGATTCAGAAGGAGAAACTGAGTGTAGTTGATCAATATACTGTCAGATTTGCGCTCCACGAGTCGTATATTGACGAGGTCACGTGCGATGTCGTTCCATTGGATGTTTGTCAGATTATACTGGGCAATTCGTACTTATGGGATAGATATGCGATCTACGAGAGGCGGGCTCAGAAGTACACCTTCACTAAGGATGGTGAAAAGTTTATATTTCGTTTGGCATCTCTTCCGAGAGAGACAAGCTTGGGGACGGTGACGCTAGCGAAGAGACTAGTGAATGCAAGCAAGAAGTTTGTTTCGCTGTGCATTAGACTTCTAGAAAAGCCATCGATAAAGGATTGCAACTTGGGGCGAAAGGTGACTACGACGAGACGCGGGATGGATGAGATGTTTCGGATCGGACATCGAGACCAGGTTCCTAGAAGGGCCAGATGGTGCAAAAAAAATGGAGGAGCTCGAGAGTTTCCTCAGCAAAAGTTCTAACTTGAACGGGACTTTAAGTTCCTAAAGAGGGGACCCATGATACGGGTGTATCTTCTCTTCGGGAGCTTAGCAATCCTCATGGGAGCTTGAGAATAGATGATTCTCATAATAGCATGAGAATAGGGGTGTAAAACAGTATAATGGAACGCAGGTGGAAGCGTGGAACGAGACGACGAGCAGCAGATTCGACGAATCCTGTTTTCAGCTCGTGAGTCGACTCATACATGAACATGAGTCGACTCATGACTGTCATGAGTCGACTCACGAAACCCAGCCGTTTTATCAAAAGTTTTTGCTCGGCCGACTCATCAGTTTATGAGTCAACCCATGTGTCATGAGTCGACTCATCTCAGTCATGAGTTGACTCGTCGACGGTTTCCTGGTTTGGTTGGGTTTCTGTTCACACGAATTCCTGTTGATTTTGGGCTTGGTTATTTACCAGATTATCATCCACGTTTGTACACCTATATAAAGAATTGTTTTAGGGTTTCTAAGCAATCAGAGGGAATCAGAGGAAAAGGAGGAGAGGCCAAGATGTACTAAAGGGTTTTAGGTCTAAGTGAGATCCTAATCAAAAGGATTAGGGTTTAGATTGTGATGATCTATGAGATCTTAGATCAGAGAGAGATTCTAATCATTGTATTAGGGTTTAGAGAGGATTGAGAGGTTGTTCTCGATTCTAGTGAGATTGTGAGGGAAAGATTGTAATCTTTTGTTCTTCATAATCTAGATAATGTATTTTCCTTCGCCATACGGAATTGTTCTTGTGTTGTAGTTGTCTTCTTCTCAACCCACATTTTGGTAATTCCGCGACTAAAGGGTGCTCGCACGACGACTCGTATCATTCTCGATCTTTGATTTGCTTTCTTCTGCCATCTCTTTCAAAACACAAACTTTTGCCGAACGAATCTCTGATACCAGTTGTTGGGATTGAACACACAACACGTACCCTTCCGGATCTTGTGTCAAAAGTAAGCAAGTAAGAAATCACAGCAAATAAAAGAAAAACTTACAAGAAATAAAGAACAAAAGAAGAGAACACCAGATTTAATGAGGTTCGGCAAACGTGCTTACGTCCTCGGGAGTCACACCAAATTTTTTTTGATTAATTGAAGAAGATTACAATGCTCGCAAATAGGCATTTCTCTCTCTTAGATTTCTCTCTCAAAGTCCTCTCTAAAACCCTCTTTTTCGTGTATCATTTAAACCCTAAAACGTTTAAGGTATATATAGTATCCCAGCCCAAAACAGTTTCCAACTCGAACTGGGAAACTGGAAAATCCGACATTGGTCGACCAATGTATTGGCGTCGGTTGACTGACCAGAAGTTGTTTTCTGCAAGATCCTTCGTGCACATTATCGGTCGACTGGTACCCTTGCATCGGTCGATTGATTTATCACTATCGATCGACCGATAGCACTGAATCGGTAGACCAGCCAGAGCGAAGTTTTTCTAACTGTTTCATGCAGTCAATTCGGTCGACCAGTCCATGCCTTTCGGTCGACCGATGCTGAGTTTTTCAACTTTGTTGATTTTGATTCAGGTTTGAATCTACACTCTCGAAACCAACACAAGATACTCACCACATGCCAATGATACTGTCACTTGCAATGTGCAGTGGGAATTTCACTTCATCCACACCTCGAGAATTACCTGAAAGAAAAACTTAAAAAGACTACAGTAGCAGACATAAAAGTATTGAAGATAGAGAATGACCATTAACCATGTTATATTTCGAGCATTCATTATGACTAAAGTTTTACATCCAGGATTTTAATTCACCAGAACCTTTTGCTACATTTAGAAAGTAAGGGCTTTCTAAATCTAAGCGCTATAATATAGCTCATCAGAAGCCATAACAGAAGCCAGAATCTGTAGCATACCTAACCTCCATATACCACTTTTGTTGGTAATATAGAAGTGGTCTTTAAAGTGATACTTCCAAATTTTCAGTTGCATGGATGAGTAATAGAGAGATGGAGTTTCACTAAAGCTAAAAATGAAGAGTGATATGAACAAAGCTTAAACGTTGAAACGTATTAGCAGCAAAAACAATATCCGAACATATAAAAAGAAATTTGAAAGAACAATAGCACAAGTTCTAATTTATGTAATGTGACACTATAGGACTCTTCCCATCTGTAGCATCAACATGCAATCTTATGACCTACAAAAAAACAAAACAAAACATATTGAAGGAAACACTTCCAAGCTGAGGTTTTAGGCACAATGAATCCTGCAAAATGAGAACAATTTATTGATCACACCAAAAATAACAAGTTGCGTATATTTTGAACGGTGAAGGTCAGATCTAAGAAATTCTCGTATTCGTAACAAATTGTGTTCATATAAGAAACAGCCTTAGTTAACTTGAATGCTATATCTCTAGTTACACGCATATGGTCTCTAAAATTGTATTTCCAATAAGTTACCCAAAATACCTTCTGCAAGAATATTGTAATATTTAGCTATAACCTAAACAAAGGTGCTAAAGAAATATCCATATGGCCTGATAAAGGTTCATTAAAAGACAAACAGAATCATTAAAGATGTAACCAAATTGAATAAAACCCCAAAACTTCATGACTTGTAATATATTATAGAATTTGATATTCAGGAAGATCGGATCTATGTACATTGGAAGTCAGAATTCCATACCTCAAAACAAGAAAAACAATATCCATCTGTGTATGCCTCACCAATAAGACATTTTGTAGTGAAGACAAACAAAAAGGAAGAAATCATCCGTATGAAAAGGATATAAAATTTTTATAATCTTTCGGCTGAATCAAATGGCATCTGTTGCCATTCCATACAATCATCAAAATCCAAACTGCTCCTACAATCCAAAAGAGCATTCTGTTGCTGCTCATACCGACAGATATAATTCAATCCCACCAAAAGCTCGCATATCGCTGCCTCTGCTTTCACTCTATCTGCAAAATATATAGACTGCAGCAACAGAACACTTTCCTTCAACACAATTTGATGCTGCTCAAAGTTGCGCTCAGTCTGCCACCGGATCATATTATGAGCCATCGGTGCAAGCCATCCCAATATCCTCTCCATTGCTTCTTTCCAGTCATGAGCCAGTGATGCATCATAAATCGCCAAATTTTTAACATAAGACTTGAGGCTCTTTCTCAAACCCAATCTCAAGCTCGAGGGGAGCATCTGGTAGAGGTCATCCCTAGCATCTTCCCCAACTAAATGTGGGTATCTCAGCAATTTCTCTATGATGATTATAATATTCGCATAATGAAGAGCCAGGCAAGAACCACCTACGGTTGAAGGTGGAGCCAACGTTGTTAATCTACTCTTTGGCCCAAAACTAAACTTACCATCGTCAACACCAAGATTACTCTTGATTTCCCCAGTAAAAGGCATGACAGTACTCTCAGTTTCAATATAATCTTCATTGTAATTCCATGATCCAGAACTGCCTAGACTCAAGCAATTCAAGAATAGCTTCCCAGGGCTAGCTCCACAATGCAACCGAAGCCCTTCACGATGCAAACTCAAGCCCGAATTCACAACCAAACCCGATCTCTGAACCTCACCACTCCTAGCAATCTGACCCGAAACATCCGAACCAAACAATATCAAACCCGATCTCTGAACCTCGCCACTCCTGACAATTTGACCCGAGACGCCCGAGTCCGACGATTTAACCCCGGGAACATACTCTCCGAACACTGATCTAATCCGGGCATGAATTGTGCAAACCGCCCGTGCTAACAGGAGAACAGCTTTATCAAAGCTCTGGTTCCACAACGAAGAATCTCGGATCTGCTTTATATCATGCCTCTGCCACTGAATCTTCTGATCGAAAGCCCGACGAGTCTCATCCGTAACTGGAAATTTCTTAGCAGAATGCTCCAGGTCCGACAAAACCTCGAGCTCAGCATACAACGCAGCCGTAGAAGCCACGTATCTTTCCATTTTTCGAACGGCAGAATCTAAATCTTTCGCAGAGTACAGAAAGTTTACCGAGGTCGAGTTGTGCATGCGGCCGGCGAGGAGGTCGGAGTACACGTGCTCGAAACCCAGACGAGGGCGGGAAGAACAGCAGTGGCGGCGGCCGAGGCCGGGAGGCGACGGCGGCGACTCGGTTGAGGTCCGTCGAGAGCTTCTCGAGAAGGCGGCTGAGGGAAGCAGGAGGAAGGAGTCGGTGTCGGAGATCAGAGAGCGGATCGAGGAGGAGCTAGGGTTTGGGTAAGGCGGGAGATCTCCGGGTCTGAGAGAGAGCGGTGGAGGTGGACAGCACGTGACATGGCGTTGGCGAGCTCGAAGGAGAGGATGCCGATGGGCTCGGAGCTGGACTTGAGGAGATTTGACGGGGAGGGTTTCTTCTTCTTGCGCATTTTTTGGATCCAGGGCTCGGCCACCATGGCGATTGAGCTCGGAGCTAGGGTTAGGGCTTTTGAAAGGATTTGGGGATTTTTTTTTTTTTTGGGAGGAGAGATTTGGAATTTTTGGGAGTAAATGAGGGAGGACGAAGAGGGGGTGAGAATAAATGGAGGGAAACAAAGTAAATGGGGACAAGGAGAAAGAGGCGCTTTCCTGATGATAACACTAGCGGAGTAGTTCAATTTTCGATTGCGGGGAAAATTTACTTTTACCCCCTTCCATGACTTTAACTTTCCCTTGGGTACATCCACTAGAAAAAGTTTAAGCCGGGATAATAGTTGTGTCCTTTTAAACTGTCTGTTATCCCAATACACTTGCATTTTGCAAAAAATAATTTTTTTATAGGACCAAAATGCATGTGTACTGTGCATATGCTTCAGATGATGCACGTACTATGTTGCGTATGTACATAGCTATATATAAAGAAAATAAAAAACATACTTAAAACATGTATATAAGATGTATAATATACATGGGCATTATCCCCATAGATGACGTTAATAAGGTTGGTATACATTGGTAGGTTCTTGAAAATAAACCATAACTGAGATGTTTATGAGTTGATTAAGTAGCTCTAACTTCTTGTTCTAATAGAATATTCGATACACATGTTACAAAATGAATAAAGCAGCTCTCATATTTGTTTGATTTTACTGAAATATTAAGGGGTATAAGTATAATTCTCTCGTGATGAAATTGTTGACCAACTAAGGAGGTAGGCGACTGGGCTCAACTAAAAGTTTACCCTTTTTGTGAATTAGCCCTTGACAAATATTACATTTATATAGCTTACTCGTGTTGAAATTTGTACAGTAGAACTTATAAAACTCAGAGCTATGACTATTCCAAGACATTCGTAATGGTATTTTACAACCTAACAAATTAAACAATGACGACAGGATGATAATATGTATTATATTATGCAACCCTACAAAAGAATGTGTGCTTTTATAATTTCCTTTGCTGCAACGGAATCATCTAATTACTTTATTTATTGTTTTAAAAAATTATTCCAAATAATAATTTATATCAACTTCCACTTGCCGACTTGCAGTAGATTATAAATTTGTAAGCCTAAATGGCACTTAACTTCTCTATTATTTCGCCACCTGTACGTTTAAATATCATAAGTTGTAAAAACTAACATTTTAATACCCTAAGTAAAAATTGACACATTAATACATTTTACTAGTTGTTATGAAAATATTCTTAAGAATATGTTCTGACACTAATAGAAGATATTAAAGTGTTACTTTCTTAGAATTAAGAGTATTAAAGCATCATTTTCTTTCAACTTAGGGTATTAACGTGTCACTTTTTACAACTTGGAATATTTAAGTGTACATATGGTGAAATAATAGGGTATTTAAGTGATATTTTTTTACAACCTAGAGTATTAAAGTGTTACTTTTTTACAACTTAGAGTATTAAAGTGTTATTTTTTTACAACTAAGAGTATTAAAGCATTACTTTTTATAACTTAAATTATTTAAGTACATATGTGATCCAACAATAGGGTATTTAAATGTCATTTAGCCAATTTATAATGGTACCGATATATCTATTCCAAATTTCTGGATTTCTACTTGTTTTGTGTTGCAGCGGCTTCCTACCAAAGTCACTGTTTTTTTTTTTTGGCATATTAAGTAGCAGTTAGTATATGGCCCCAGAAAACAGAGTGGACTGAGTTGTAATCTAAGCAATATGATATATTTTCAGTAAAAATCGAGTTGTAATATCCTTGAATACAATAGAATTTTTAAATTAAAACAATAAACGTAGATAACAATGGAGATGAAATTAAGAACATGTATAGAACATGGATGGTCCTTAATAGTTCGTATGCTCATTCCAGAAATGTTTGGGACAAAATTTTGGTGTTGTTATTGTTCTAATGAGAAAATTGTGTCAATGCCCTAAAAATGAAAACTCAAAATAGTCAGTCTCATGTATTATTTTCTATATGCTTTATCCCCTAAAAACATGAAAAAAAGTATAAGCCAACCCTTCCAGCCCAAGAGTACCTTTTGTATATATGTATTTCACTCTAAATCGTTAAACTACCCTTCTCTCTCCTGCCATTACTCTCTCTCTCTCAAACTATAGCCACCGTTTCTCTCTCTCTCTCTCTCTCTCTCTCTCTCTCTCTCTCTCTCTCTCTCTCTCTCTCAAACTATAGCCACCGTTTCTTCCCCATCTCAACCCCATTGAATTGCCTACATTGTAACCTCTTGTCGCCATATCTTCATTGAATTCCCTCCCTTCATCGCTGCCAATTCCACCGTCAACCAAGCCCACCTTCTCAATACCCCAAATTCACTTCTCCTCATTTCCATGAAATCCCCACCATTAATTTATCTTCCACATTAAACCCTCTTCATGCCCTTAAATCCTAACCCTAATTCTCCTCTGCCACTGTGACAACCATTGTTCCTCCCTCATCCTTCTCTGCCACCACACCACCATCAAAAAATCATTGTTATCTCGTCTCTGCCTCTCATCGTCATCCTTGAAGTACCACCTCTTGCTGCTGCCATTCCTCCCCCTCTATCTTCTCCACTGATGTCCATCATCCACCCTCTCCACCACCCTACACACTTCATTGACATGCACCCTCTCCACCACTCTCTACTCTCCACCTCTCCATTAGCTCATTGTTTGTTTGTAAAACTATTTTAGATGCTTGGGTTTCAAACCATTTGACAAAAATGTACATCATTTTGGACATCTATTTGGTGATGCCAAAAGGATGGTGTTGTTGGAATTGAGGAGACGAATGCAGCTTCTTAAAAACTATATTTGAAAAATTACAGAAGTATGAGATATTAAAGGATGCCAAGAAGTTATTTGTTGAAATGACGAAAACAAATAATTTCTTGGATTAGTATAATTATATTGAAGGTTAGTCATTTGTTAAGTTGTTGGTATTTTCAAGAGGCTATTGACTAATGGCATCACACATAAGTTGAGATGCATAAGTTGAGAATATGTTGGGTTTTTAACTAGGGCATGCTATTTGGTTTTTATTCTTACAGAAGGAATATTGGATGTTAATGTAAAGCTTGCTTGGATATTAAGATTATCGGTTGTATATTGAAAAGATCTCTTTTTTAACTAATATCAATGATGGATATTTCATCTTTGAAGAGATTGAGTGTTTCACAAGGCAAAGTTAGCATCATGAAGATTATGGTGCACTAGTAAAGATTATGGCGTACCTATTAGTATTTATCACGCACTTGTTAAGTTTAAGTCATACCTATTAAGATTATAGTGTACTTGTTAAGGTTATGCCATACTTGTTAAGGTTATGGTGTATCTATTAAGGTCATGTCATACCTATTAAGATTATGGTGCATCTGTTAAGATAATGGTGTACATGTTAAAAGTGATAATTTTTAGGGTGTATTTAACTATTATTAACTGAAACATTTTCGAATATGGTCATGTTAGCTCTAATATCACTGAGTCCTTCAACAATTAAAATACTTATACTTGACATGCAAGCTCATAAGTGGACTAATTTCTTCTATTTCTCCATAAAGCTGCTGATCCAATTTCCTATTATTAACACACCCAAATAAGCATCCTAATTGTAAAATCAAAATTCAAATTAAAAACTCAAAACTTTTTCCCAAGTTGAAAACACAAATTGTTAAACTTTATGCTTAATAACTATGTGATTTGTATAATTGTTGGTAGATTAATAGCCAAAGAGAAATGTTGTTTCTAGGATGGTGATAGTAACAGAACATGTACAAAGAAAATGTTATGTAGATCTCGTCATATAGTTGTGTGTATGTAAACATTAAATTAGACAAACATATAATTGTATAAGTTGATTGTGAACAATGAAGGATTACATATGAATCTTACCCAAGAAATTCTCCAAAATCCCCCATGAAAGTTTCTAAAATTGTAAGTGTTTATAGATTTTTCTTTTCTCCCCTGTTCAATAATCTCAAAAAATCGCAAAAAAACCCCCTAACAGTTATACTCTAAACTCAATAACCAGTGGGTACACTAAACTACCAATGATAAAGTTAACAATCAACATTCAAAACTAGCATCAGTTTGTTAAAATTCACAACTAACTCATTTATCTAACATATGTTTATTAAAGTTAACTAGTAATCTATATAATTAATATCCATGTGTTAATAATAGTTTTTGATTCATACCTTTAACATATAACTCTTAAACATAATTGTCTATGAATAAATTTAATGTCTAGCATTATGCCATATCTCTCCACTTTCTCCATCTACCTTTAATTGTGCTCTATTAGTATCTTCAACATTCATCATCCTCACCACCCTCATCATGAACATCATCCATACGAAGTAATCTGACATAATTGGCTCTTTTATTGAAAAATACTACTAAGGTAGCTCACATTCGTTTATTAGAAAATACTATCGAGGTAGCTCATGTTGTATTTACAACTGAAAAGAATGTATATGTGATAAAATAAATAGCTATTATTTACAACTATTATTTATAGAAATTATCGTCAACCAAATAATAATAATCAAACAAAAGCATTAAACAGTTTTAGCTAGATGACTCAACCACCACTAGAAAGCAAAAGTTTCCATTACACTATTAGTTCACTCAAATTATCCATTGCTTCTTACAAGCAGAAATTCTACAATCATATTGTGAACAATTCTTACAACAAATTAATTAACAATTAACAACAATAATTTTAAGTCATTTGCACATTGAATCCAAGCAACAAGGTTGAATCTATCAACCACAAAACAAAATTATCATCACCCAAAAGAAAACCATCAGCGTAATCATCATCTCATGATCATCACCCCAAGTTCTGTTGGAAATTATGGTTAAATCTGAAATTAAATTGTGGTTAAATCTAGAATTAAACAGTGAAATTATGATGTGCTGTAGTTTTAAATTTTTTTCTCAGTCCACTGCTGTTCGTTTGAGAAACGTTGTGCTTAAAATAATATTTGGCCTACTTTGGTGCAAGGATCTTAATGCCAAACTGCTTCCAGAAATAGCAGTATAGTACTCTGGTGTGCACCAACCCAGTACTGTTAAGATCTCCTTGATCTATAAGACCTTTCGGTCAAAGCAAAGATCTCCTTAATCTCAGAACCTTTCCGT